CTCGTGCGGGGGCCATCCATATCCACCGGATGGGGAACTGAAGTCCTGAACCCCAGGGGGCGGTGGGTGTGGTATGGATATGTACGTGCATATCTACATACACACATGTGTATATATATATACAGATATACATATATATATAAATACATATGCATATATATATGTGTGTGTACATGTAAAGACGCATGTATGTACACACATACATATACATGTACATATACATACACATATACATGCACTTATACATATACATATACATCTACATCTACATATACATATACATCTACATATACATCTACATCTACATATACATATACATATACATATACATATACATATACACATACAAAACAAATACATGTACATATACATATACGTCTACATATACATATGCATACACATACACATATGTATATGTATATATATACATATACATATACATATACATATACGTATACGTATACCTATACATATATACATATACATCTATACATATATACATACATATACATATACATTTAACTATACATTTACATATATATTTACATATACATATACATATACATATACATAATAATATACAAATACATATACATATACACATACATCTACAAATACAAATACAAATACATATACATATACATTACAAATACATACACATATACATATGCATAAACAGATACATATACATTTACATATACATATGCATGTACATATACATATATATTTACAAGTACATATACAAGTACATTTATAATTACATGTATGCATGTATACACCTGTATCTATATATATACATACACATATACATACATATATATATATATACATCTACATATACATATACATATACGTGAACATATACATATACACATGCATATACATATACATATGCATATACATATACATATACATGTACATGTTCATGTACACATACCTATACATATACATATACATATACATACACATATACATATACATATACATATGCATATACATGAACATATACATATACATGTACATGTACAAATACACATACATCTACCTACACATATGCATATACAAAATCAGAAAAAGAGACAACGACCCAGGGTCGCAAAAATGAGACCGCGTCCGAAGGGCCGATAAAACCCGATAAGTAGAAAACGGGGCAGGGTCTGAGAAATCAAGAAAAAGAAAAAACGAACCAAAAAACGAGACCGCGACCCGGGGGCCAAGAAAACGAAAAAAGATACAACGAACCAGGAGCGGAGAAAACAAGAACGCGACCCAGGGGCCCAGAAAACTAGAAAATCATAAACGAACCAGGGTGGGAGAAAACGGGACCGCGACACAGGGGCCAAAAAAACAAGAAAACGATAAAACGAACCAGGGTCTGAGAAAACGAGACCGCGACCCAGGAGCCGAGAAAACGAGAAAGCGAGAAAATGAACCAGGGGCGGAGAAAACGTGACCTTGACCCAGGGGCCGAAAAAAAAAGAAAATGATAAAACGAACCAGGGTCTGGGAAAACCAGAACGCGACCCAGGGACCGAGAAACGAGAAAACAAGAAGAAAAATAACCAGGGTCGGAGAAAACGAGACCGCGACCAAAGGGCCCAGAAAATGAGAAAACCAGAAAACGAACCAAGGGGCGAAGAACACGAAAACGCGACCCATGGGCCGAAAAAAGGAGAAGCTAGAAAACGAACCACGGTCTGGGAAAACCAGAAGGCGACCCAGGGGCGGAGAAAACGAGAAAACGAAAAAATAGCCGAAGTCGGAAACAACGGCACCGCAACCCAGTGGCCGAGGAAACGAGAAAACTAACCAGGGGCGGAGAAAACGAGACTGCGACCCAGGGGCCGAGAACCAGACAAAACTCGAAAAGAAACCAAGGGCGGAGAATACGAAACAGCGACCCAAGGGACCGAGAAAACGAGAAAACGAGAAAACGAGAAAACGAGACACCGAACCAGGGCAGGAGAAAACGAGACCGCGACTCAGGGGCCGAGAACTCATCTCATGATAATCGCGCTGCCTTGCCACGCATTCGTGACCTGGGAAAACTAATTCGTGAGTCCGATGGCCCAGCCACTCTTTCGTGATCTGGCGACGCTACAGCGGTGAGAGTTCTATGGTGCAGACGCGCATTCGTGAAGCGTTCGTGACCTGGGAAGGCAACAGCATGGAGGATCTGTTTACCGAGGCATCGAAGCCGTGGGGGCCACGAATGCGTGGACTAGTAGTAGTAGTAGTAGTAGTACTAGTAGTAGTAGTAGTAGTAGTAGTAGTAGTAGTAGTAGTAGTAGTAGTAGTAGTAGTAGTAGTAGTAGTAGTAGTAGTAGTAGTAGTAGTAGTAGTAGTAGTAGTAGTAGTAGTAGTAGTAGTAGTAGTAGTAGTAGTAGTAGTAGTAGTAGTAGTAGTAGTAGTAGTAGTAGTAGCAGTAGTAGTAGTAGTAGTAGTAGTAGTAGTAGTAGTAGTAGTAGTAGTAGCAGTAGTAGTGGTGGTGGTGGTAGTAGTAGTAGTAGTAGTAGTAGTAGTAGTCGTAGTCGTAGTAGTAGTAGTAGTAGTAGTAGTAGTAGTAGTAGTAGTAGTAGTAGTAGTAGTAGTAGTCGTAGTAGTAGTAGTAGTAGTAGTAGTAGTAGTAGTAGTAGTAGTAGTAATAGTAGTAGTAGTAGTAGTAGTAGTAGTAGTAGTAGCAGTAGCAGCAGCAGCAGCAGCAGCAGCAGCAGCAGCAGCAGCAGCAGTAGTAGTAGTAGTAGTAGTAGTAGTAGTAGTAGTAGTAGTAGCAGCAGCAGCAGCAGTAGTAGTAGTAGTAGTAGTAGTAGTAGTAGTAGTAGTAGTAGTAGTAGTAGTAGTAGTAGTAGTAGTAGTAGTAGTAGTAGTAGTAGTAGTAGTAGTAGTAGTAGTAGTAGTAGTAGTAGTAGTAGTAGTAGTCGTCGCACTACTAGTAATTATAACAATGCGCTTGGGAGCGCTTGGGAGCGTTTCTGGAGCGCCTGGAATCGCCTGGGAGCGCCTGACAGCGCTTGGAGCGCCTGGGAGCGCTTGGGAGCGCCTGGGAACGCCTGGGAACGCCTGGGAGCGCCTGGAAGCCCTTCTGCGCCTGGGAGCGCCTGGGAGGGCGCTTCGATACTCAAATGTATTCTCTGCGATTTCGGTGCTGAAACGAATCCTGGTTATCGGTACTCATATTTGCTTTTTGGGGCGTTTCGGAACTCAAAACTCTGCTCCGTTTTGTGGCGATTCGGTGCTGCTCTTTGCTGCGTTTCGAGACTACATGTGTTCTGCGGCGTAAAGTGTTATGTGGCGGTTTGGTGCTCAATGTTGTAGCGTTTCCGTACTCAAATGTATCCTCTATGGTTTCGGTGCTCGAATGTCCTGGCCTCACATTTGCTGTTTGGGGCGCTTCGGTACTGAAATGTGTGCACTCCAATGTATCCTGCGGCGTGAACTCGTAGACCTTACGCGGCAATCTCGCATTGCGCGCGCGAGGGCTCTCATGCAGGGCGCCAGAGCGTAAAGGAAACCATCACAACCTCCGGGAAAAAATACGAGAGCACGAATGGTTTGTTTGGTTCCAGCTCTGATAGCAAACTGAGTACAAGCATCTAGATAATTCACAATACCGCGTCTGATTATTCCCCTTCGATTGCTGTCCCAAACAACTCTGTATCTCGTTTGCAACTCGAATAGCTTGAACAAAACCAATACCATCTCCAGAGAATCAGTAGAGTGCGAATAGATGCTCGGCTCCACGCTGAGAACAAACGGATATCAAGCGTCTGGATGCTTTTAACTAGCGCCTCTGACGATTCCCTTCCGACTGCTGAACAACTCTGTAGCGCATTTGCAATACGAAAGCAATCAGGAAAAACAATACCATCTTCCAGAAAATAGCGGAGTACGAAGACTTGTTCAACCCGAAAGCACATAGCAAACTGAATTCAGGCGTCTGGATACTTTCAACTGGCGCGTATGATGATTTCCTCGTGATTGCTTCGAAGCTCTCTAGCTCATCTGCAGCTCCAGGGAACTAAAAAACCACCACTACTCAACAATAATCGATAGAGTAAATATTTAGTTCTGCAATCCAGGCTCTGGTAGCGAATTCAAACTTCTAGACGCTGGAGACCATATGTAGCCCTACAACTCGAGATAAGTGCAGAAAATCGACAACACCTGTCAAGATGCGTCGAAAGAACCGATCTCCGCCTCTGCGCTTTCTGGTAATAATGCGTACCCGGTCGAACTAAGATTCCGATGGCGAGCGGAAAAAAATTGAACATCATGGGAACAATACTAGAGCTCTAACCAACGAGTCAATTCTGAGAAATCGAATTCAAAAATCCAAAATTCCCAAACTTCCGTCGACCTTTTTTTCAACTGGCTTCCGAACGCGCCGGAATTACTCTTCTAGCTCCGCCGCTAAGGCTCTTACGGAAGCAATACAAGTCACTCTCGTATAAAAGAACGCCACACACCACGCAAATAGGCGCATTACTTGCAAACCTGAACTGCGCATTGCCCAACTAATTTGCGAATTATTGCTGCTTCCGTTCGCGCTTTGCTTGTTGAGATCTCCAAGAACATGTGGAAATTACGAAGGCATTTTGCGACATAAGAGGATTGATGTATACTTTACTCTTGATCCCCTGGCTTGTAATTCGACGCTCTGTCATATTGATTCACGTTACGAAAACAATTTTCCTATACTTTAATGATAATTTCTCTGGCAAAGATACACCACGTTTTTATGCAATCGTGACATTACTTGCAAACCACCCGAAACTTTTAATCCTATTGTATAATGAAAAAAGGTAAATAGTGTACGTACACATCGGTATGCCGAATGTAAGTATACACCATTTCACGTAATAACATATCTGGTGATGTAAAGAAACCGAATCGCCATCAATCTGAAATAGGCCGCTTTTTATCTCTCTGCCCTCTCGGTCTTTCCCGTGCTTAGATTCCCTCAGGGCTGCGGCTCTAAACATTAAAAACTGGTGGGAAGA